TGTCAACTAATTAAACTTATGCACACATTATTTTTGTCAGATCTTCTTGGAGGAAGAAAGAAAGCCAACTGCCTGCTTCTGCTGTGGAAAAGAAAGCAAAATTACAAAAATTATTATGACTAATCTATCCATTGTTATGCTTAGAAGAAGGAGCACAAATAAAAAGAGGCTGTAGAAACTCACCTAAGAGCGTTGGTTGGGTTTTTGGGTTTTTCTCTTCTTATGCCGATGGGTGCACCTTCTAACAAATTTTTGTTGATATTTTTCCACCTTGTTCACCACCCACCATGGTTTTCCTGTTATGAACACGATGTATCCGAGACTAAGTCCTAACACCAGCCCACATCCATAACCCGCCACTGCAAACTTCCAATTAAATAGTGCTGCACAATCATCATCTTCATCAAATTTTGATGGAGGTGCTCTTGGTTCTTCCTCGTTGTGGCAGTTCTTTGTCAATGGGAATCCACACAGCCCAAAGTTTCCAATGTAGGAATCATTTGAGAAAGTATTGAACTGCTTCCCGTGAGGAATGTCACCTTCAAGTTTGTTGTGTGAGAGGTTCAGAACTGAAAGGAATGTCAAACTTGTCAACTCCTCAGGAATCCTACCATCAAGCTTGTTTGATGAGAGATCTAGTGATTCAAGTTGTGTCATTTTCCCCAAAGATGATGGAATTTGACCTATGAGACTGTTGTGAGACAAGTTTAGCAAATGAAGTGACTTGAGTTCTCCCAGCTCTTCAGGAATGTGTCCATGGAATCTATTACTTGAGAAATCAACAGTTGAGAAAGCCATCGGGATTCTCGTCAGCTCCACGTATGAACCTTTTAGTATTACCATCACAGAATCATAGTAATCGGGAAAAATAGCCTTTAAAAAACTGGTAGCAGCATATGCACCCATATATTCCAATCCACCTTCCTCTTCATGTACATCTCTCATACCTGTCAAATTTTTGAAATAGCTACTCGGCAGGAGACCCGTGAAGTCATTATGCGAGACATCAACGATTCTCAACTCAGGGAAGTAAAATGCAGGTGTAGAGTTGTAAATGGCACCATGAAATCGATTGGATCGAAGGATGAGAACTTTTAGCTCTGAAAGAACACCTAACCAATGTGGAAAGGTGTCATTCAAGCAATTGTTCCCCACATCAAGAACTTGCAATAATCTGCAATAGCCCAAAGTCCGTGGCAATATCCCCTCCAACTGGTTGCCATTTAGGTTAAGAGTTATTAGTCGACTCTCGTCGACAAAAGAATTTGGTATTATACCATGAAACTTATTCATCTGCAAATCCAAGATACGGAGATAACCCAAGTTTCCAAGACATTCTGGAATTTTTCCTCCCAAATTATTCTTAGCTAAGATTAGAACATTAAGAAAAGTCAAATTGCAATAAGAAGAAGGGATTTCGCCAATCAAATTATTCCCTGAAATGATGAGATGCCCAAAACCCGAAGTTGTTGATAGAATGGGAAGTGATCCTTGTAGTAAGTTGGAACTGAGGTCAACTTGGGCAAGACTTTCAAAAGCAAACAAATCTATACTGGTCAAAAAGTTATAAGAAAGGTTTAAACTGGCCAATGACATCCCTTCGATTTCCCATTTGTGAATTTGACCAGAAATCATGTTCTTGGAAATATCCAATACTTCCAATCTCTCTGCCTTCCTTAAGAAACTTGGGAACTTGTGTATGTTGCAAGAAGAGAATTTTAAAAACCAGAGGTTCGGAAAGGAATAGTTGACACCAGTGCTATTATTGCTCAAAGACAACAAATTGTTATTGGAAAGATCCAGATCCCAAAGGTTAACAAGTTTTGAAAGCATGTTGGCTGTAATGGTGCCACTTAAATTATTTGAAGAAAGATCGACCACGGCAAGATTCACAAGATGAAAGAAAGAGCTAGGAAATGAACCACTTATCCCATTATTGGACAAATAGACTTCTTGTAAAATGAGATTAGGCATCTCAACATGATCAATAGGTTCGGTAAGTCTGTTGTTTTGGAGGTCTAAATGGGATAAAGAAGGCAAAGAAAACAACCAAGATGGTATAGGACCTGTGATGAAATTATTATCCATTTGAAACTCATCTAAAAATGAGAGTCCACTTATATTGCGAGGAAGAGGCCCTCTTAGCTTATTTGATGACAGATCCAAATAAGTAAGATTAGCGAGGTTGAAGATTGATGTAGGAATTTCACCATCAAAACTATTAGCAAAAAGGCTCAAATGAGTTAGCTTTTGCATTTTTCCAAAGACATCTGGAATTGATCCATAAAATTGGCAACCATCGAGATTCAGATACTCGAGGCTACTACTCTGGCTTGGCTCAGGCAAATTACCTCCCAAATGAGAGTTGTCGCTTAAATCAAGAAGCTGGAGAGATGGAAGCTGAAAAGCTTGGCTTAGAAAGTTTCCTTGCAAATGACAAGAGCGAAGGCTCAAATGCTCCAAGGAAGAAGTCAAGTTTAGAAAGGAAGAAGGCACAACCAGAGACATATTCACTGAATCAAGGATAAGAAACCTTAATTCTGTTAAGTTATGCACAAGCATTTGAAACATTATATTGTCAAGAAACAAATCATTATAAGAGAGATCAAGTGAAACCAATTTCGTTAGCTGAAAAACTTGGCTTGGAAAGTTTCCTTGCAAATTACAAGAGCTAAGGCTCAAATGCTCCAAGGAAGAAGTCAAGTTTAGCAAGGAAGAAGGCACAACCAGAGACATATTCACA